AGATCAAGACACAGCTAGAAGAGGCCAATCCAGTATCTGAATTTGACCTGCCACAAGAGAAGCCAGTCGATCTTGAGTTGGCTAGTGGGGATGACCAGTTAATAGGCCAACCTGAAAACACGATCCAGGAGATCAAGACACAGCTAGAAGAGGCCAATCCAGTATCTGAATTTGACCTGCCACAAGAGAAGCCAGTCGATCTTGAGTTGGCTAGTGGAGATGTCCCGTTAATAAACCAACCTGAAAACACGATCCAGGAGATCAAGACACAGCTAGAAGAGGCCAATCCAGTATCTGAATTTGACCTGCCGCAAGAGAAACCAGTCGATCCCGAGTTGGTTAGTGGCGATGTCGAGTTAATAAGCCAACCTGAAAAGACGACCGAGGAAATCAAGGCACAACTAGAAGAGGCCAATTCAGTACCTGAATTTGACTTGCCACAAGAGAAACCAGTCGATATCGACTTGGTCACTGGAGATGTCCCGTTAATAATTCAACCTGAAAACACGATCCAGGAGATCAAGACACAGCTAGAAGAGGCCAATCCAGTATCTGAATTTGACCTGCCGCAAGAGCAGCCGGTCGATCTTGAATTGGTTAGTGGCGATGTACAGTTAATAGACCAACCTGAAAACACGGCCCAGGAAGTCAAGGCACTACTAGAAGAGGCCAATTCAGTACCTGAATTTGACCTGCCGCAAGAGAAATCAGTCGACAGGTTCCAGTTAAAAAGTCAGCATAAAAAGACGAGCCAGGAAGTGCAGGCACAAGTCGAAGAGACCGATCCACTATCCGGATTCGAACTGTTGCATGAGAAGCCAGTAGATCGCGATTTGGTTAATAGAATCGTCCAGTTTATAAGACAGCATGAAGACCCTACCATGGAGGAAAAGGACTTGGCAAAACTTCTGAAGGAGGACATCGAAAAGTGGAATAAGAAACACTGGCAGGTTATTGTGGCGACGGCCCATGACCTCGGCTGCTCTGTAGGTCACATTCCACACACTTTTGTCTTTCTCAGAAAGGCGTCCCGTGTCTACATCCTCTACCGCGTACCCGACTACCAACATTAAAAAACTGCAAAATGAAGAACCGCTGTTCTTGTTATTTTTTTTAAAAAAACCAAGCCACCGCAGGTAAGCGGAGAAGATGCGTTTGAGGGGAGAGGGGGGGGGTGCATGGGGCGCATGTTGCCCTCGGAGAAAAGCAGCGACCCTGCAACAATATTAGTG